ATCACCAGGAGACTGTGAGTTCTAGTCCTGCCTTAGGCATGAAAGCCAGCTGGGTAACTTTGGGCCAATCACCAGGAGACTGTGAATTCTAGTCTCGCCTAAGGCATAAAACCCGGCTGGGTGACTTTGGGCCAATCACCAGGAGACTGTGAGTTCTAGTCCCTCCTTAGGCATAAAAGCTGGGTGGGTAATTTTGGGCCAGTCCCTCTCTCTTAGCATAGCAAATAGGAGGAGGAAGGTGTGTTGGGTATGTGCACCACCTTGATTTTATTTGTAAAAATAATAAAGGCGGGATACAAGTAAATAAATAAATATAAAAATATAAAATGGCTACTTTCTATTACGGTTGTAGAAAGAAGGGCTGCTAATACTATTGCTGATCGCCAAGTGGCATAAGATCTCACATTCAGCATTATTTTGGGATGCCCTCCCTCCCCACAAGGAACAAACCGACCAACCATCACCAGAGATTGACCTGATCTTTTTCTTTTTTCCCCCTTTCACTGCAGACCCAGCCATCATAGCTCCCCAAGACGCCACCCTCCACATTGGTGCTTCATTCACGGCCAACTGTTCCGTCATGCCCAATTCAGGCCTGAAGGCCGAGGACCTTTACTGGACCCTGAATGGCCGAAAGCTCCCAGCCGAGACCTACAAGGTCCTGGGGGCTACTACGCTCAGCGTCACCCTCACCCAGCTGAATGGATCGCGGCAGCAGTCAGGGGATAACCTGATGTGCCACAGCAAGGAAGGCGGAAGCATCTTGGCTGGGTCGTGTCTCTATGTAGGACGTACGTTGGCGGCTTTAACTGGGTGGATTTCGTGCCCCTGCCACCTCTTCTCTGGGTCAGACCATATGCAGGTAGTCCTCAACTTATGACCATAATCCCAAAGGTGCTTTTTTTTTATTTAAAAAAAGCACCTTTCGGGCAACCCTGAGGTACTTGGCTGACTGAGAATCTCCACTTAATAAATGTCACAGGCATTTATGACTACAATTGAACCCCACGTTTCCATTGCTAAATGAGACAGTGAGTTTTGCCTCATCTTATGACCTTACTTGCCACAGTTGTTAAATGAATCTCTGCAGTTGTTATGTTAGTAACATGGTTCTAAAGTGAATCTGGCTTCCCCATTGACATGATTCCGGGACACTGTCACCGTCCTAAATATGAACCAGTTGCTGAGTGTCCGAATTTTGGTTATGAGACCACAAGGGGTCCTGCAGCAATTGTAAATGTGAAAACTAGTGGTGAGATTCAATTTTTTTTTACTGCCGGTTCTGTGGGCGTGGCATGGCCTGGTGGTTGTGGCAGGGGAAGGATACTGCATTCCCTCCCCACCCCGCTAACCTGTTTTCCAGCTCTGTTCTCCTGTGCAGGGTAACCAAAGGAGACCCATCCGATCAGCTGGGACTCAGGAGGCAGGGAATAGATGGGGGCGGGGCCAGTCCGAGGTGGGATTTGCTGGTTCTCCGAAGTTCTCAAAATGTCCACTACTGGTTCTCCAGAACTGGTCAGTGTCAACTCATAAAACATTCCTATGCCTGTTTTAGTAGTTGCCATAAAAAAGGAGGGAAAGCGAAAGTACATTCCAACTCTTATCTTTAAAAGATTGTAACTAAACTACCAGAGCTTTTGCCCCCAAATATATTTAATTGGAAAATGTGAATGATGACACCCAGCCTCTGAAGGCGCTGAATTGGATAATCTGGTTTAAGAGACACCCAGGGGAAAGGGAGGGAAACAGGGTCACAGGTGACTGTAAATTACATATGCCAAAGTTGGCTTCATACAGGGCAGTGCCAGTATGTCGCCTCTAATAAATCGTTTGAAGTTTTTTGAAGTTTGGCTGGAGAATCATGATTTAATTAGAGCGATTGCTGGAATCCTGACAGCCAGAAACTGCGGAATACCACCTCTGATGAAAGCTGGTTATATAAGCCACTTTTTTTTCAATGCCATTGAAACTTTGAACGGTCACAAAATGAAGGGTTGTAAGTCGAGGACTACCTGTAGAAATGCCAAAGAGAGCTGCAATGAAAATAGACTGGGGGAAAAAAAATCACAATTCACTTTCCCTTTAAATGGTGAGCCAGAAGCCATGCTCTGTTGCGCGGTTCCTGGGCAATGCTTCGACCAGGTTAAAACTGGCTTGCTTTATTTATTTGTGTACAGGCAGTCCTCGACTTAACAACAGTCCATTTAGTGACCGTTCAAAGTTACAACGGCACTGCAAAATGTGACTTATGACCATTTTTCAAACTTACAGCCTTTGCAGCATCACGTGATCAAAATTCAGGGATGCTTGGCAACTGGTTCATACTTACAACCGTCGCAGTGTCCCAAGGTCACGTGATCCCTTTTTTGCGACCTTTGGACAAGCAAAACCAATGGGGAAGACAGATTCACATAACAACCGTGTGAGTAACTTACCAACTCCAATGATTCACTTAACCACTGGGGCAAGAAAGGTCATAAAATGGGGCAAAACTGACTTAACAAAATGTTCCACTTAATAGCAGAAATTTTGGATACAGTTGTGGTCGTAAGTCGAGGATTACCTGTATCTATCTATCTATCTATGAATGAATGAATGAATGAATACATGAATGAATGAATGAATGAATACATGAATGAACATTTTTATGGCCACCCAACTCACTTTTAGTGATTCTGTCATTCTTACAATGATAAAAATCCAATAGTCACTCAAACAAGCCATTTGCAGGGCTCCAGCCCCTTCTGGGTTTCTCAGGCCCATTTAGTGTTTTGCTTTTTTTATTTTTTTTCTTTCCAGTATATTCTCTGAAACCTTGAAGTGATACAAGAAGGTTTCAGCTCTTGAATGTTGCTCTCAAAGAGAAAAACACGCCATTTGAACCATGACAGATGTCTGAATCAATAGTCTAATTTTTTTTATCATCACGGGGCTATTTTTGATTTCGGAAGGATGGAAACGTCAGCTGGGAACAGGCTGGTTTTTTAACGTAAAGGGCAACTGCAGGCCATGGTTTAAAATTTCTCCTCAGTGCCAAAAGAGAGAAGGGCGCTGCTGTTTTAAAAAGCTGCCCTTTTGCTATTTCATAGCTATTGGCATTTGTGTTTCTTCGTAAACAGCACAATCTGTTTACCAATATATAAAGGCTGTCCTCAACTCGGAACCAGAATTTCCCTTGTTCAGCAAAGTGGTTGTTAAGTGAGTTGTGCCCGATTCTATGAGCTTTTTTGCTATAGTTGTTAAGGGAATCAGTGCAATTCTTAAATTAAGCAAATCCAGTTTCCCACATTAACTTTACTTGTCAGAAACCAGCTAGTACACAAAAGGCGGTCACATCACCAACCACCATAAATAATGCCAATTGCCAAGTGCTCTAATTTTGATCACATGACCATGGAGATGCTATGATGGTCGTAAGAGTGAGGACCACTTCTGAGTCACTTTTTTTCGGTGCCATTGTAACTTCAAACTGTTGCTAAATTGTTGTGAGTTAAATGCTACTTGTATGTACCCAAGTATAGAGCCCTATGGATTTATTTATATCTTTCAGTGCCTCCTGAAAAGCCAACCAACATTTCTTGCTGGTCCAAGAATTTGAAAGACCTCACCTGCAGATGGGTACCTGGGTCAGAAGGCGAGACACACCTGCATACCAATTACTCCCTGAAATATAAGCTGAGGTAGGATGATGACACGGGCATAGATAAGTTGGTGATTTGCCCTTTAGAAGAAAAGACACAGAATGAGATGGACTTTTGTAGTCTTGTTGAATTTCAGACAATTCTTCCTGACCTGCTATCAGTCAAAATAGGACTGTGGTTCCTGTGCTGACTGGTGAATTCTGGGAGTTGAAGTCCCCACATCTTAACGTTGCCAAGGTTGAAAAGCAGTGATTTAGGGCAGGTTGTCATGCCCCTGTTGGAATCTGATTCGGAGGGGGAGGCCAAGCAGCTGACTGGGAGTGGGAGTGTGGCTTCGGAGGTTCTGGAAGAAACTGGGGAAGGGCAAAGTCCAGCTGGGCAGAGCAGGGGAGAAGTAGAGCAAGGCAGAGGAAATTTGGAGGAAGACCCAGGGCCACCCCCTCTTCATCCAAGGGCACGCAGGGAGGAACGGAGAAGGGAGCAAGATGAGTTGCGTGGCTTACGGGGAAGGAAAGGGCCCTGATTCCCTTCATTAGCTGCAGTTGGGAACACAGTGTATAAAAAGAGGAGTTGCTCACAGCCAACTGTTGAGAGCAAATTGTGAATTATCTTGTATTGTCGAGGCTTATCTGGGTTCCTGGCGTCTTCCCAACTGTGTGTATTCTGCTAGCCTTTCAAGTGTGCAATTCCTTCTCCTGCCCTGTCAAGTTAATTACTGCAGCGTGGTTTGTGTGGATTTTTATTTACAGTTTGTATGTACTTTGTTTTTGGACTGAATTTCCTCCACTTAAAGACTGTTCTTGGGAGAGTTTTTTCTCCAGGTGAAGGTAACCTGGACATTGGGAGCAAAATTTGAGATACTAAAGGGACTCTTCTTACTTATGTGACTGTGTTGCCTTTGTGCCAGGCCCCGGGTCATCACACAGGGGTTCCCAACCCCCCCCCCCATCCATGGACCGGCACCGGGCCTTGGCATGCCAGTTACCGGGCTGCGCAAACAAGCAGTTCAGTATAATGCTTAAGGTGCTGCCTAGAAACCAGGAGATTGTGAGTTCTGGTTGCAGCTTAGCCACAAAAGCTGGCGGGGTGTCCTTGTGCCAGTCATTCTCTCTCAGCCCAACATACCTCACAGGATTGTTGTTGTGGGTAAAATAGGAGGAGGAAAGAATGTTAGAAATGTTTGTTGCTTGACTTACTTAATGCAGCAAGGCAGTTGTGATTTAGAAAAAAATCTAATAAATAAAAGAAAGTGTTAGGGTTTGGGGATTAACCCCTAGAAGAGTATTGCAGCAGTAGT